CAGATGTTCACAGACTCTCTGTTTAATGATCTGCTCCAGAATCTTTTTATACCTCCCTTCACCCATTGATTTTATATACCTCATCCATTTGGTTTCATACAAATGCATTTTTCACAAAAAGTTGTGAAATGCAATAAATACACATCCGTTCACCATTTTTTTCAAACGAGTGTCGTGATGTGTTGAGACCACATTTCTTACCATGTGCCATTTGTCTGTGAAGATTTGTTACATCCATATTTATTAATGAATTGGGGGTTTTAGCATTGTTACCCTACTGGGGTTATGTGTAACCAATACTGAGTTAAGTGGGCCAGATGTTTGATTCTTTAGGATAGAAATGGTGAATTGTTCAATTAGAATTCTTATTGCCTCTGCAGATTAGTGTTGGTGGATGCCCCAATCCAACCCTACATTTCCACCTCTGTTAGAGACGTAAGTAAAACAAAGACATGAGTAGAAATGGCACTGTTGCAATAGTATATTGAAAGCAGCATGTCTTATTATATTCTTAAAATTCTATTGTTTTCCTCCATTTTCCTAACATGGCTGTTAACTCTATGCCTTACATTCAGTAGGACTCTAGATGTATCTCATTCAGTACTGACTACAGTGGTTTTTTGATATTCTTAATCCAATAAAAAAGATACAGGGGATTGTTTTAGAAAATCTGTCCAGATGGACAGGGAATTCTGCAACAGTTTCTCAAAGATGGGTGTCTGTTTTCTTAAGAGTATATGTAGCCCTTTCTTTGGCAGAGTAGCCACCATTTTCAGTCCAAGGCCTGAATTCCATTTCACAAAGTTCTTTCAGGGAGGGTTATTTGCATGGCGGATGAAATCAAAGACAAAACCTGAACCCCCCCCCCAAAAAGCCAACACAGTTTAGCTCAAAGCTCTAACTGTACAATACCTGGAAAACAAAGCCCTGTAAACAGTGGTATCATGCCTTATCCTATGTTAGGGCTGGAGAGTGTGTGGCTTTCCAAAGATTGTTGTACTACAGCCTCTGCCATTGGCTATGCTGACTAGGGTTGCTTGAATCTGCAATCCAAAAACCCAGAAGGGTAGTCCAAAAATAACTGGGGTGGGGCACATAATCAACCCCCCCATTCTTTTCATGGTGTCAAGTGTCTTCTGAGAAAGTACAGAGTTTTGGAATGGGACTCTAGTAAGTCTGGGCTCAGTCCCAGAGTTTGAAGTTTCCCACCCCTACTGTATTATATGTATTATTACACTGAGTGATATGAACTCCTTGTTGAATATTATGCATTATGTTGCCATTAAAGAAAACCATGCTTGCGTGTAGTCTTTAAGATGGCTATCTGAAGCTGTCCAAAACCAAAATGGATGTTTTGATTCATTTTAGCCTCTATGTTAGTCCTCTGTGTTTCATTAAACCTTTCTGATCTTATGTGATAAAGTTAGTTACAGAACTTCGTTAAATAGAAATGGCTGTGTATTAATTTTGTTACAAAAGTGAATATGTAAACAATTGCAATGAGGAGAGTTTGAAGAAGAAAAGCTGTTTCTGGGAAAGTGCATTAGCACCAGTTCATTAGTCTGACTATTACTTGTAGCCTGATCAGGTGTTTCTTCATGTAATGCAAAAGTAAACTAGTTGAGATAGATCAGAGATGAGATTCAAACTGGCAGAAGAGATGGCAGTGTTGCCATGTAGATAAAATAATGTCTGTATGCATAAATATAAAGAGACTATCATGGATTGTCCCCTTCCCTGCCTCCCTGGTGTGTGACCATATGTCGACCACAATTGGTGTACATATGGACAGAGGACACTTTCAACTGTAATCTATATCACAGGGACCAAAAATAAAACAGGATCAAAAGGCTAAAACATAAATGCTGTATTCAGAGGGCAAATTTAAAAACATAACAAAAATATTGGTGCATTAATTAATACCTTTACTGTACATTCTGGCAAGGAGTGATAAAGAGTGGATTTGCAGGCATTTCTTTAAACCCTCTTTAGTTGAAAGGCAAGTTGAAATGGATAGAGAAGTTAGGTTTTTAGAAAAATGTAATTGGCTCCTTTACTAGTTAACGAGCAAGAGAAAATTGTTCGGCTTATCTGTTGGTCTGTCTATCTATCCTATTGTTTTTGCCTCATCAACAGTTAATTTACATTGTGGTAGAATTAATAAATAGGTTCTTTTAAACACACACACACATAGGTTACTGTTTGGAGTACAAAGGCCAGAATCTATGTCATATTATAGGTATTCTAGGAGCTATAGTTCAAAAGCTAATTTATCCAAGATCTGGATGAGACATTACCTGAGAACTTCAGTGACATTCCAGGTGCTGTGCTATGCTAATAATAATAATAAATAATAATAATAATTTTTATTTATAGCCTGTCCCTCTGCTCAACAATCAAGGCAAGTTACAGCATTAAAACAAACAACGAATTAAAACATTCCCTCATCCCCTAACCTTACCCTCCCAAACCCCTTAAGACAGGATTAAACTTGAAAAGATTAAAATACACTTATCCATTAAAAACAATAACATAAAAACAAACTACAATGGGAACATAATAATGATAAAAGCTGAAGTCACATCTTCTTGAAGCAGATGCTATTCCGGGAAGGCCAGCTGGGTTGCACTGTCTTATTCTGCTAGCATTCCCACCCCACATTCTGACTGCTTGCTTGCTCCTCTGCTCCATACTTATCAGACACCAGCAGAATCAGATGGGCACAGATAGGCTCATTAACCCCCTTTTTTATTCAGTATATTTTACAGAGCTTTTCAGGTAGTGAAGTTTTAGTGCACCCAACAACCTCTGTAGAATGATGGGGCTGTCTATGTCTGTCTGTTTATGTATCTTGCAGGAATATATAGGGAATTTGCTATCTCCATATCTATCTATATATTGCTTTTCTTCTAGTTACCTTACTAGTTAGCAACAAGAGGTGGCAATAGTTAATATTCAGATGGGAGTACCTGGATGACAGACCATCAGAAAGTACCAGGGCTCTTCAAGAATAGCTAGCAAAGAATCCTTCTGGGAACTAGTGTTCACAGATCTCATGGCCTGGCCCCTTTGCTTCATTGTGCATGGTAAGGGAGAAGAATCATAATGTGAAAGCACTGTCTTGAAAAGTGTGTGCATATATGTTTACATAAACACACACAGAGGGAACACACTCCCTTTTGTTAAACTTTTTTTAAAAATATTGTTTCAAAGATGTAGAACAATATCTCACTACATTGTTACAGCACCATTATTCCACTTTAACTACTATAACTGTCTCCAGTGGAATCTTTGGATTTGCAGTGTAGGGAGGGATTGACTCTATTTAGGAGATCACAGGTATGGAGTTGCAGAAATTAAGCAGGGCAGTGGAGGACAGAGAGTTTTGGAGATGACTCAATCATAGGGCTGCCATGAGTCAAGATCGACTCGAGGGCAGTTAACAACAACAAAATTTAAAATTATTAGCCAGAGTGCTCTTAGGCCTTGTTAAACTACAAACCTCAGATGCCAGAGGATGGAACTATAACATTTAAAGTGCAATAATAATGCTATAATAGTGTAGTGTAATATTGACATTGGTCTGAATGGCTGATGTTTCATATATCATTCTTAATAAGATCACTGCCATCA